CCCAGCACTTTGGGAGGCTGAGGTGGGCGGATCACGAGGTCAGGAGATCGAGACCATCCTGGCTAACCCGGTGAAACCCCGTCTCTACTAAAAAATGCAAAAAAACTAGCTGGGCAAGGTGGTGGGCGCCTGTAGTCCCAGCTACTCGGGAGGCTGAGGCAGGAGAATGGCGTGAACCCGGAAGGTGGAGCTTGCAGTGAGCCGAGATCCGGCCACTGCACTCCAACCTGGGCGACAGAGCGAGACTCCGTCTCAAAAAATAAATAAATAAAAAAATTTTTAAAAAATTATAAAAAGGATTAAGGTATATTGACATGGAAAGATGGCCAGGATATATAGCCACGTGAGAAAAGAGGTAGGAACCATTTGGGGTGTGTGGATATGGTATTTGTCAATGCCTAGCTAAATTCTGGAAGGTTATATACTATCTGGTAACACAGGTTATATCTGGATAGTGGGATTGGAGGAAAGAGTGTTCTTGAACTTTCTTTTTGTATTTTGTATTTTTAATTTTTTTGAGATGGCGTCTCACTCTGTTGCCCAGACTGGAGTGCAGTGGCACAATCTCTGCTAACTGCAACCTCTGCCTCCTGGGTACAAGTGATTCTCCTGCTTCAGCCTCCCAAGTAGCTGGAATTACAGGCATGCGCCACCACCCCGGCTAATTTTTGTATTTTTAGTAGAGATGGGATTTTATCACATTGGTCAGGCTGGTCTCGAACTCCTGACCTCAGGTGATCTGCCCACCTCAGCCTCCCAAAGTGCTGGGATTATTGGCATGAGCCACCACGCCCAGCCTCTTTTTTTTATTTTGTGCATTGCTGTATTAGAATCTTTTTACAGTGAACATGGATTACTTTTATGATCATAAAAACTATAAACATTTCTAGGCTGGGCAACATGGCTCACGCATATAATCCTAGCACTTTGGGAAACTGAGGTGGATGGATTGCTTGAGCCCATGAGTTTGAGACCAGCCTGGGCAACATGGGCGAGACCCCATCTCTACAAAGCACAAATTAGCTGGGCGTGGTGGCACATGCCTTAGTCCTAGCTACTTAGGAGGCTGAGGTGGGAGGATTGCCTAAACCCAGGAGGCAGAGGTTGCTGTGAGCCAAGATTGCACCACTGCACTCCAGCCTGGGTGACAGAGTGAGACCTTGTCTCCAAAAAAAAAAAAAAAGCTAATAGACATTTTCTAAATCACAAAGAAGAAAACTTTGAGGTATTATTTTTTCTAAGAATACTCAGTTGCTATGTGAGATTACAGCATTAGTTCTTACATTACATTAAAAAATGTTTTATGTATGTGATAATGGCATGTTTATTGAAAGAAATGTTCCAAGTATCTAGAAAACAACTTTTTTTGTGTTAAGAATATATGACGTTTTTGGCGGGGTGCGGTGGCTCATGCCTGTAATCCCAGCACTTCGGGAGGCCGAAGTGGGCAGATCACATGAGGTCGGGAGTTTGAGACCAGCCTGACCAACATGGAGAAACCCCGTCTCTACTAAAAATACAAAATTAGCTGGGCATGGTGTTGCATGCCTGTAATCCCAGCTACTCGAGAAGCTGAGGCAGGAAAATCATTTGAACCCGGGAAGCGGAGGTTGCAGTGAGCCAAGATCACGCCATTGCACTCCAGCCTGGGCAACAAGAGCAAAACTCTGTCTCCAAAAAAAAAAGAATATATGAAGTTTTTATGGTTAGATTTTGCTAGATTCCACTTTTAATGTTGGGCTACTGCATTTTAAACTTGAAAATTCTGGGCATATACGTTCTGCCCTAGTGAGACGTTGTGAATGGTTCTCCTCTACCCTTGAAAAAAATGTTTGACATGTTAAAGAAAAAGTTAAATGGCAGCACATTTTTTCATCTGTAGGGCTGTGTGCAGGAAACATGAACTTATGCAGTATGACTTGGAGATGGCTGCTCAGGACTTAGCGTCCAAGAAGCAGCAGTGTGAGGAACTGGCAACTGGGGTGAGTATTTTTCTTTTGGCCTCTGATGATATTGTAGCAACATGGAATGTTCCTCACAAGCACTCACTCTAAGTGAGTGACTCACTCGTGTGGAATCAGCTTCAGTTACAATACTCAGGACGGCTGCACCTTTTACAGGGGAATAATTTGTGAGTAACTTTATAATTATTTTGTTATTATCTTGATGCAAAAAGATGTAAGCCATTTAAAACCATGTACTGTATAGAATTATAAGAAATTTTGCCA